TGATGGGTTCTGTGGAAGGCAGTGAGAGACTAATTTGAAAATGAATTGTTGTCTCCAAGTTCAGCATTATTTTGTCTACTCATTCATGAAGCAATTAAAAGACCCAAAATATCAACAATTCTAATAACATTTGATATCTTCTTTCTGTCTCTCACTACAAATGTGTTTCCTGAATACGAATTTATTTTTAAGCTGGTCCCTTGAAGCTCGGCTGTAAGCGGTTCAACTGTAGATGAATTCAATATCCCCTTATGAGCAATAAGAAGAACTTGAACACGATATTTTCGGCAGGTTTTTTTTTTATTTATTTTTTGCTGAATTTGAAGATATAAATGGTTGGGTGGGATCGGGTGTCAACGACTCGACGCAGCGAGTCCAAGGCCGAACGTGTAGACGAATTCTCTCTGTTGAGTGTGTCTTGGAGGATTTTTTTGAAGGGGAAAGAAAAATATCCCCGTCCTTTTTACGTGTTTGAAGGAATTTGTGGTGTCGAGTTTTTGATATTGACATACAGTACCAGGGGTCTTGACAAATGTTGTCGGGATAGAGTTTGAAACGGCATACCTTTGAGCTGAAAAACAATTATTGTCCAGAAAAATTTGAAGGAATTTGTGGTGTCGAGTTTTTGATATTGACATACAGTACCAGGGGTCTTGACAAATGTTGTCGGGATAGAGTTTGAAACGGCATACCTTTGAGCTGAAAAACAATTATTGTCCAGAAAAAGAACACTTTTTGGGCACAAGAAAACGAATTCATCCCTGTTTGACATGTTATCATAAGCTGCCGAAGAAGGACCGAAGTAAATGACTACCACCACATCTAATGTCTTTTTTGCTTTTGATATTTCAAATTGCTTCAATGTTTACTTGTCAGGATAAACTGAGTCAAGAAGTATTAGTCTTGTGACTGGGGTTTGCAAAATGAATCTACGTCCCAGTGTAGGAATTTATAGGCGTGTTTTAACCCTTTTTGGCAAAGTGGGGATATTTTCGAAAAAGTGTGTGCCACTGGGCACTGGGAAGTTTGAAAATACCTACTTTTGTACCAAGGCCTAAGTTGGGAAAAATTCCAAGGTTTTTTTTCTAATCCGTCAAAATTTTTTCAATGAAATTTTTTTTAATCCCTCACTGTGTGGCGTTTTTTCCTGCATTTCTGGCATAGGATTTGCATGGGAAAATCTTGAAAACAAAAGAAAATTTGACTCATGGATTTTTCCTGACTTGGGCCTCCTTAACCTGGGTGCATTTCAGTAACCTTGGGTTAAACTGAAATGTGCTGCCCCCTAGAAAAATCCCAACTCTGCCATGCACTGAGAAAGAAACCTCTGCCATCTGAGGGTTAATATACAATCCCAAATCAACCAACAATAATGCAGACCAAACTAGCAATGAGTGCAGAAAGAGTGTTTGGACACTATACTTTATAGATTCATCAAATGTACAGGACAGGTACATGACTGTGTATAGAATGGCCATTGGAAAGTAAACCAGGATGGGCACAAGTGAATCACCAGGCAATGGTCTGGTGATTCTGGTTGTTACCAAGTTGAATCTATGAACATAAAAGCCAAACCAAGAATGGGTATTCTTAACCTGTTCAAGGACTCAATCAATTATATGAAAACAGACACTCTTTTTCAGAAAAAAATTATTAAGGTTACCCTGGTAGCTTTCTGCTCTACGCTCAAAAGAATATGCAAATTTTTCTCTGTACCCCAGCTTTCTGTTTAGAATTAATGAAATTGACAAGGCTGTAAATACCAAGGGTTGCCATGACTAATTCATTATTGATTCTGCTATCATCATTAACAAGCATCACTTCAGATGAGAATGTGGCAGCCATTGATGAAAATGGCGGAAATACCTTGGAAGACCTGGAGGCAACCCTTTGAAATAATCCGATGTTGATTTTAAGAATTCTGAAGGAGAAGCTGGGCTGCACCAAAAAATATGCAAAATGTACACCCCATCTTTTGAGTGAAGAGAAGAAATTTGTGAGGGTAACTTTTGCAGAAAAATAAATGTGCCAAGCCGCAGGGATGAAAATGTTGTTGCATATACCAAAGGTTTTTTTTTAACACAAATTGCTTTTCAACTCCATCATATTTCATTTTGATTTTTATCCCAAGAATTATTGTTGAACTTCTTGTATGTATCCGTTCTTGCGTCGAAGTTTGGTCTTGGAACGAATTGAGATGCGGGAATGTCTCGTTATTTTTTTTTCAGAAATCATACAAATGAAGCTTTGGAATTTTTTTTAATTCTATTGATTTTAAAGGTTTTGATGTGGAGAAAGACTGAAGCTGACTTTGGCCTCGTATCTTCTCGAGAAGGTGTCATTGTTTTGTAACCTTTGTATTCATCATCGGTATGAAATGGATTTTCAATATCAAAGCAATGTTATAATTGGCACTTGGTCGTCAAATTTGGAGTAATATTCCTTCACGGACTTACAATTCAATTTNAAGGTGCAAAGAATGAAGATGGGATTCTGTTTGGCAAAAATCCAGTTATCATTTTTTCTGTTATTATTTCGTTTGAATCATTTTTTGAATTTTAATTTCAACTATGTAAAACTGATCCTTGCTGTGCAAGGATACATTTTTTGGACAATTTTTGTTTTTACCAAAAACTAAGCTATTTCGAGTATTTCCGAAAAGGCGTTGCGGCTTTGTTCTGAATTTGATTTTTCAGAAATGCGGAGACTTGTCAAAAATTTGTAACTTTTAATGCGTACAAAAATTTAATCCTGTTCTGTCAACAACAACAAAATGAGGACACTTGGCATTGAAAGAGAAATCTTGAGGTGCTTAGTCTTTTGCTGATGAGTTTGTTGCTTCAGAATAAACTAATTTAATTCTGGCTTTGGAAAGCGAGTAAGTTTGAGGAGCAAAAGTTTGCAATTTTTAAAAAGGATCAGTATCCAACGGGATTTATCATTCCAGCAAGTGTGTTTGCCGTTTGTGCTTCTCTGCCTGTGACTTTTATCTTGTCTGATAAAATCTTCTCGACTCGAGATTTCATTCAACCATTCAAGCACCTCTTCAGAGGGTTTTGTGTGTTTTTGAACAGATTATGAGGTATTTCGTATCTTACCTTATCTCTGTGTGATTTTGGAAAGTGGAAGACAGCGAATTTTCACTGTTCAGTTTGAGGAATGCATTGAAGTTGATAATTTTCTACTCGTTTTGGGGATGCTGAAGTTATCTGAAGGACGAAAAAGCCAGAAAAGTGCATATACAGTATTCAACTGTTGTTTGAAATGCATGAATTTATTTTTTATTTTGCCCCATATTCGGGTGAATTTTAATTAATAAATGGGGAATTCGAAATTTGCGTTCAAATGATTCCTCGACTCTCGAAAAGAGTTTAATTTTTTGCAACTGTTGCAGATATCTGGAAGTGTTTCCGAAAACAAAGGTTGTTCATAAAAATTGCAAGCAGGAGAATTCAAATACTGTACGTGACTGAACTAGGAATTCAGGGTTAAAAATTGCATTCAGTTTTCTTATTTCAATCGGATGACATCTTCGAGATTGATGTTCACCGAAACTAACCGAAAATTAATGTCGAATGATAAAAGGATCAAAAATTGTTTCGTGCTTCAAATCCAAGCGACTCTTCCGGAGCTCTTTTTACTTCGAGACAGCGTCGTTTTAGCACGTGCTCTTTTGTCCGGTCCCTAACTCGGTGCTGTGAAATCTTGATGTATCAAGGCTCGAAACTACCGCAGATGACCCCCAACATGCGTAGAATCGTAACCCCTTTTTCTCCGTGTCCTTGGAACTATGACAAAGCTCAAGAACCTGGGTTCGTTTGCGAGGGTCCGTTAAAAAATTCGAGGGGTGGAATTCTACTCCCCTCCCATTTCATAGTTACTTATTTCGAACTAATCCGATTCCAAAGACTTCTTAATTGATCGTTATGAGTTTTGAATTTATTTGAGAACTTCGGATTGTTCATCTAATTGACGTTTTATTCAAATCTCGTTGCCTTTTTAGGTTACGGTATATATAGTATTTTTATTTACGGTGTGTTTTTTTAGTTCACCTACTTTAACCTCTTTTGAAGCAACATAATTATGATGGCTTGTTTTAAATGAGTATGAAAGTACAATACTGTACCTTTGAAGAATATCTGTACAATATTTCAAACTAATCTCCATCCGATTTCAAAGACTTCTCAACTGATTTGTATGAGTTATGAATTTATTTGAAAGCTCTTCCATGTTTATCAAATTGTCGTTTTATCCGAATCTGTTGTCTTTTAAAGTGAAATATTTTTATTTCCTGTTTTTTCTCTGCCACTTCAACCTACTATAAAGCGACAAAATTAGGATTCTGCTTTTTCTTTGGTGATGAAACTACCGGTACATCTGGATAAATTTAGAACTACTGTAATCCCATTCGATTTTGAAGACTTCTCAACTTATCGTTGTGCATTTATTTCAGAACTCTTCAAATTTTCATCTTTCTGTCGTTTCATCTGAACCTTGTTGTAAAATATTTTCATATACTGTAATGTACTGTGTTTTATCTCTTATTTCAACCTCCCATGGAGTGAAACATTGCGATAGCTTTTTTTTAATGAGTATTAATGATGCTTTTTGAAATATTTTCGGCGCGTGTCAAAATTAATTTCGAGTTTTAATATGATTTCCATTTTTTTGAAGAATGAAAGCGCGGAGTTGATATACGATATTTCCAGAGATCATCAATGCCAGGCATCAATTATTTCGCTTGCTGTAAATTTAATCAGTGCGCTAAGCGAAATTTTTTGACGAGTGGGAATACATATTTTTCTATTCCTTGAAGCCCTCACAGGGAACGTGAACCTCTTACGGACACTTTCGTACTTCGAGAGACGCATATCCCTATTTCGGGGCCAAAAAACACACACACGCCAAAATCTCACTTATGCCAACAGGGTTCAAGGATCAGTTCGCTTTCCAACTCCGTCGAGTGGAGATGTCAAGTGGGTCGCTTTTGCAGCTTCCAGTTGTCCGTGAGATTTCAAAGATAAATTTTATTCCTGCCTTTAAAAAAAAAGACTCGAGAAATAAGAGACTTGATAAAAAATGCAGGCTCGCTTTTTTCTCTCATTTCTGTATGGAGCCGATGGCCTTCAAAGCGCTGTCGCGATCCGAATGCCGTTTGTAGTTATCGTACTCCTGTTTCGATTGTGGCAGGATCTGAAAAAAAAGAACAAAAAATTATGTAACTGAGTGTTGATTTTCTCAATTGAGAAATTAATGATAGATCGTTTTCTTCTTTTGCAGGTTGACGGTCGTCTTCTCCGATAAATGAGCCTGGAAAAGAAAAAGGCGAAGATGAATCCGATGGAGATGGTGTGATTGATATGTTGTCATTTTTGTTGTTACACAGGAGGGTTGTAAAGTGGAATCAAGTGTTTTAAAAGCGCGGTTTGATTTACCTCGACCGAGCGTGTGTGTGTGCGTGTGTTTTGAGAAGAAGAAGTTTCATCTGGCGAATTTAATTTCGCCCGTTTTTCTCTCCGAAACGACGGAATCGTGGCATTTTTTGGGCAAAAGAAACCTCGCTGAATTGCTTTTTTTTTCTTTCGGAAGCGCTTCGACGGAACTAACTGGACATCCGTCGTCTTGATTGTCAAGGTTTTTCTCTCCGAAACGACGGAATCGTGGCATTTTTTGGGCAAAAGAAACCTCGCTGAATTGCTTTTTTTTTCTTTCGGAAGCGCTTCGACGGAACTAACTGGACATCCGTCGTCTTGATTGTCAAGGTGAGTTCTGGAATTTTATCTATATTACTGTGATGTTGACGACGAAAGATTTTGGTTAGTGTTTCTCGTTGATTAATTGGTATCAAAACGGCAAAAACTAATTAATTATGTGTCGGGCCTTCGCTAGGAAATTCTAATCAAACGGTTGTCATTTTATCGAGGAAAAAATGAAGGTATCAGGAAAAGACTTTTCATCAGTAGAAAAACACGGAACATGTGCAGTACGTAGTTTTACAGGACTAAGGAAAAGTTGTGGGCGAATAAACCTTTTCAGTCCCTATTTCAAGTGTTTCCCGAAGAAGAAATGCATTTTAAATAAATTATGTGGAATTAACGCGGCAAAATTGCTAATTTTTGGGTCTTCTTAGATATTCCGATATTGGGGTTATTTTTTGTCAATTTTATCTAGAAGAAAATGTAGGTATCCCTCCAAAAAATTTCAAAATTGAAAGTACGAAACATTCATATAATTTTCGAATAATTATGACAGTTTTCTGAATTTATTTTCTTGCGATACGTTGCGATCTGAAATCGCGGAATCGATGTTCTTCATCCGGTGATTTCACCATCAACATTTAATTTGAATTGTGAATGAGCTTGGATTTATTTGGGCTTGCCACTTTTACGGTGGGTAAAAGTTACAGACAAAGACTAATTTTCTCTCCGAAACGACGGAATCGTGGCATTTTTTGGGCAAAAGAAACCTCGCTGAATTGCTTTTTTTTTCTTTCGGAAGCGCTTCGACGGAACTAACTGGACATCCGTCGTCTTGATTGTCAAGGTAAGTTCCGGATTTTTATCTACATTACTGTGATGTTGATTGTAGAGGGACGACGAAAGATTTTCGTTAGTGTTTCCCGAAGAAGAAATGCTCTTCTTTTTTTTCTTTTCTTTTTTTTTTAAATTACGTGGTATCGGAATGGCAAAAATTAATAATCTGTTGGGCCTTCGCTAGGAAATTCTAATCAAACGGTTGTCATTTTATCTAGGAAAATAAGAAGGTATCAGGAAAGACTTTCCATCGGTAGAAAAACACGGAAAATTTACATAGTTTTACAAGACTAAGAAAAACTTTTGGACGAAGAAACCTTTTCAGCCCCTTTTTCAAGTGTTTCCTGAAGAATAAATGTATTTTTAAAAATTACGTGGAATTAACGCGGCATAATTGCTAATTATTGGGTCTTCTTAGATATTCCGATATGGGGTTTATTTTTTTCAATTTTATCTAGAAAAAAATGTAGGAATCCGTCCGAGAATTTTTTAAGTTGAAAGCACGGAACATACATATAATTTTCGAAGAATTATGATAGTTTTCTGCATTTCTTTTCTTGCGATACGTTGCGATCTGAAATAAAATCCAAATCGCGGAATCGATGTTCTTCATCCGGTGATTTCACCATCAACATTTAATTTGAATTGTGAATGAGCTTGGATTTATTTGGGCTTGCCACTTTTACGGTGGGTAAAAGTTACAGACAAAGACTAATTAATATCAATTATCTTTTTACCCTCTCACTCCAAGATAAATGTTCTAAAGCAATTATTCAAGAAACCCTGAAGGACCTTCATGAAGAACAGAAATGCATCGCAGAACATGAAAAAGCGTTCGAGTCAAACAACCTCCGTATGAACGCATTGTAACGCTTTTCGAAACTTTTGCCAAGATTCGTGACTCTCATACCAATGTACCGTAACTAAAAAGTCAAAATCGACCCAATAAAATCATTTTTAACGATTGTCCAACTTTTACTTCCCCTTTTTTTCGATTAGCTCGTACACAATTTGGGAATTCATGCAGGGAAAAAAGTGGTAGTTTTAGGTCATTTTCAAGACCGTAATCATTCCGGCTGAGAATTTTTTCAAGATTTTCCACATGATCAGATTATCTATGGGAACGGTGCTCAACCGTAGGAAAATCGGCTTGAACTGAATTCTCGCATTACTGTTATGCTCAAGATCCTGATCAATCCGAATAAAATCAGCATGCAACGATTCAGGTTGATTCACACATTAGCCGAAATTAGTTCACGAAAAGATCATCCGGTTATATGCTTTCTTTTTTATTGGCCCATAGCAAAATAAGTGGAGCGCGAAAAAAAATAGCGCCACAGTTCAAATTTTGCAAGCGGTATTTTCCGTCCCGCACGCGTTTCGCGTTGTGCCAATTTCGGGCAAGTCTGAACCCGGAGAAAATTGGGGAGTCTAATGGAGCGCGGCCTTTCTGCCGGCGACAGGTCGAGAGAACCCAGTTGATCTTATTTGTTGTTGGTTGTTCTCCTTTGTTATGGTTGTGTCATGTGTGTGGCAGCAGGAGCAAAGAGCAAAATACAGCAAAGTCTCATGACAACAAACTTGTGGGGAATACAGAA